TTTAATTGTATTGAACCATTTTGGAATATAGTCACGTGGTATTTTTAGAATATTATAGTGAAAGCTTTTCTAGTCAAGCGTTGTGATGTTGTTATGGTTTGTAAATTGTTCGATTGCTGTTATATTATGTTTATTAAGCTGATGTTTGATATGAGTGTTGTGTTTGATATTGTGTAGAATAGAATTGATGGGTATGCCAGGTGTGTTGAGAGGAGATAGGTTGGGGTTGGATGGCCAGGTAAATTGGATATTAAGTTGGTGCATATTGAGAATGAGTTGTGCAGTAAAAGGTTTGACTTCTTTGAAAGTGAATTGGGGTTGGTCGGTTAGAATAAATTTATTAGAAGCGGCATCATTTTGTAGTTGTTGTAAATGGATAAAGAATGATAGAGGGGTAATTGGAGAATTCAGCATGTTTTCAAGAATCGATATGTGGTGTGCTTGTTGTAATTGGTGGGCATTCATTAGTGCATAAGTATGAGGATAGAATAAGAGTGGGTTAGAAGTGCGTCTAGAAATAGATGCTTTGTGCTTGACAGTAGTGGTATATTGACTTATGAGGTATTAACAGCTAGAGGGATTCAAGTAGGTGTTAGTAAGATGGTAACATAATCTGGAGAGCAGAACTGTATTGATGATATAGATGGCTTGTTTTTCAGTGATTTTTGCATAATTAAGCTTAATCAGTTCTGTACAAAATTGTTTTTTGATTGTTCGAATTGACTATTGATTATTAATAGTATAGTCAATGTAAGTGCCGAGGAATCTAAAGGTTTGTTTTAGTGGTAAGTTGTGAATAGGTTGGTTTTGAAAGATAATAGAAGAGATGTCTGTAGTGTTGTTATGGAAAAGGATGGATTTGCTAGGGTTTACAGTTATTTTAGCCATTTGATAGAAGGAGGATGTGATACTAAGTATTTGTTGAAGTGATGTTCAGTTTGAGGAAATCCATATAGTGTTGTCCATATAAGTGATTACGTTTGTAGTAGTCGTACAGGTCTGGATGAAGTTTGTTGTGATGGTAGAGGTAGTGTAGCCTAGAGTGGATTTAAAAATACGGCTAATAAGAGGATTATAATATATGTGCCAAAGTATTGGGAAAATTGTTTTGCCCTAGTCGATGCTGTCTTCAACATTGTAGAATAATGTTTTACCGATAGAAGTAATGACTTGGTTTTGTCTTGTAGAGAAGATATAAACTATAAGGTTTGTGAATTGAATTGGCATGCTGATTTGATAGAGGGCTTTGCTTAAGAGTGGTATGTGCACAGTATCATAGGCTTTTAATATATCTTGTGATAGTATCCAAAGTTCTTTCTTGTTTATATATGCATTTTCACGTAAATGAGTGATATGTTGGATTGGTTGTAGTGTGGAGGTAAGTGGGAGTGCTACGTTATTTGCGAGGTTAAGCAAATCATTGCATACAAGAATAGAATTGATGTGAGTGATAAGGATTTTAATGAAGATTTTGTGAATATGCTCAATAAGTATTATGGGGCAAGTTTTGGAGAGGTCTTTTAGTTAATATCCTTTCTTTGGTATGGGCCAAACTAGACCTTTATACCATAATGAGGGGGTTGTTTGTAGATTGATACAGACATTAAAGATCTTAGCTAATGTTAATATTGCTATGTAGGGGAGTTTCTTAAGCATTTCATTTGAGATTAATGAGGGGCTGATTGCTTTGTTGTTGGGTGCTGTTGTTATAGTTGCCTAAACTTCATCTGCTTTAATTGGTTTTAATAGTGATTCGTATGTAGTAGGGTAACTTGAGGTAGTGTTTTATAATACTATTTCTATTCTGTCCACAGGTTGGGGTCAAATGGGTTGAGTTGAGTCCAACAACAAAAGTGCTGTAATGTTTCTTGTTTAATTTCTGGGGGTTGGTGATTATTGTAGTTGGTGTAGTGATGTTGTGAAAGTTGACAAGAGATTGGTGCCAATGTAAGATACTATCAATTATCTTGGTTGTGTTACTTTGAAAGTTAATATAGCATTTGTTTGTAAAATATTAGATTTTTTCTCTTTTTTGATTGTTGTTCTCAGTATTCCTTGCAGTGTATAGGGTTGAACGAAGCTGTTTAATATGTGCTTTTGTATGGGTGTAGAAGCTGTACTCCAAGTCATTAAGTTGAAAGTGTTAATTGGTAGCTTGAGTAAGTGCGTTGATTTTGTCAAGAATACTAAAAACAAAAGTGATGATGTGTTAGATGTGAAATGGGATAGAATGATTAATTATATTAAAAATATGGTTAATGTGTTTTAGTGCTTAATGTAAAGAGCTAGTTTTGAAGGAGTGAGTGTAGAAGGTGCGAGACTAGTGTAGGTATATGGTATAAATTTGTTAGCTGCTTGTTTAATGATATTGTTAAGATTGTTAAAGGTTTTATTTAGTTGGTGTGTGTTGGTAATTTGCTGGTGATAGTAAGTAGAGGCTGAAATATAGATTAAGATAAATCTAGCAAAGTTTTCCCAGAGTTTAGAATTCATATGATTGTAGTTGTAAACTTTTCGGTACTGTTTTTTGAGCTGGGGTTGTTTGATTATGAGGTATGTGTATTGTGAAGTGGTAAGTATTTGGTGGTCACTATTAGTAATATTAGTAGGATCAAGAATGAGAGATATAGTAAATTTCAGAAGAAACCCATATATCATCTATTTGGCTTGACAACTGGTTCTGGTTCCAGGTTGGTTCAGTGATGTGATGTAGCTGTAATAGGCTTATGAAGCTGATAAACAAGAAGTGTTGGAGTAAGGGGCATTGTCTGTAGTAGTTGGGGCGGTTGATATTATAGTTAAAGTCACTAGCAATGACGAGATTCATGTTTCGAGAACGACCATCATTAACTCAGAAGATAATTTGTTGTTGGGTAGTACATAGTAATGGTGTTGTAGATGATGATAGGTAGATTGCAATAAGGCGCATCATGTTATTTGCAGGGAAGTATAGGTCAATAAGTAGGGCAATACCAGGTATAATGCTGATTTTATGGATGTGTAGTTAGATTGACAGTTTTAGAGCTATTGCGACTTCTTTGCATGATTCACGAATATTTGCATTAGTTTGATCACAGTTTGATGTATAAATCTTATAAAGCAGGTTAGTAAGTACTATAGGGTTAGTGGATGCAGCTAGTTTTGTTTCTGTTAGAAAGGCTATATCTATTTTATTCGAATCACAGTACTCTAGTAGTAGTTGTAGTTTAAGTGACTAGTTGATCCCTTGGACATTGTGGTTAAGAATATTGAAAGTTTGTTTAAAAGAAGAGGTGGAGTTGTGATGGTTAGTATAGAGTGTCAAAGAGGGCATATGGTTAGAAGGTAAGTTGTTAGTTTTCAATAGTTGATCATATATGTTAGTGAATTCACTCATCAGGGACATAATTGTTAAAAAGTTTCTATTTAGGTACAGAGAGTTCAGGGATATTGATGATGTGTGAGGGAGCCTCTTTGAAGGTAAAGTGAGTATGTAAAAATGCAATAGTAGTTTCAACTTGTTGTTGGGAAGTAGCTAGTAGGATGATTGGTTCAGGTGTAGATATATAATTAATTATAGCTCTGATTTTATCAAGTATAGATGGTAGGGGGGATGGTATGTTTTAATTGAGACCTTTTGTGGAATGCTAATCTAGTCAGCTAAGATTTGTCTGAAGTAGTAGTGTTCTCTTAGAAGGCATGCAGTTTCAACTAAAACTTTGGGGCTTGTAATAGGGGTGGTAATGTTGACCAGCTTTGCCTCATTAGCGATTAAGAGTAGTTCTGGTTTGTTTGTAGAGTTGATTGTCATATATTGCTTGGGAAAAGATAGAGTAAAACGGTATTTGTTTTGTATAGTTGCCAGAAACTCTTTTGCTAGTATTGGGTCATTAATAGAGAAGGTGTATTTTTTTGGAGTAGCTACATGTGTTGGATTTTGAGGGAGAAGCTGTTTTTGTATGAAAAAGTCAGAGAGGACACGTTTAAAACTATAGTGTTGGCGAAGAATCTCAACAAAATGGTGGAATTCAGTGGAATTTTTGAGATTATATGAGAATAAATGTTGAGTAGCTAAGTTTAAATTTTGTAGTGTGCTAGGTAAATGTGGCTTTTGTGGTGGTAGATTGAAATAGAGTAGTGGAATTTTTTTGCCCACGATATAGTATTTGGTTAGTTTTTGCTGGTAAAGGGCTAGGTATGCAAGCTTTGATAGTTCAGTGATAGAAAATAAATTACGTATTTCGGGGTTGAGTTCGGAAAGGTGGTCAGGAAGAGGTAGTAATTGGGTTTCGAAGTAGCTATTATACAATTTTTCAAATGTGTATATTTTCCACAATGCAAGAACGACCATTCTGGTATCACTGTGATCTGTAATGGGTAGTTTGAATAGGAGAATTTGAAGAATATTATCGGGGTGAAGAAGGTAAGGTTTTGAGAAGGGAGATGTGAGCAGAGGTTAAAGTAGCTTTAATTTTTTCGAAGTCAAATAGCATGGTGATTTTTGCGAAATTTAACAAGTAGCTAGTATATCTTGTAATATCATGAGAACTTTTCAATATGAAGTCCAAGTTGCATAAGAAGTCAAGTGTGAGTTTTGCTTTAAGTCTTTGGAAAAGTTGATCCTGGTTGATTTTGTTAATATAACGAGCATCATAGCAACATTTGTATCTTTCAGTTGCAATTTGTAAGAGAGTTTTGAATTTTTTCTAATATTGTAATTGGGTGGAAGTATTGCGGGTAAAGGATTTAAAGAAGGCGATATCCAAGTGGATGAATTTTTTATTAATTGTAGAAAGTAAATTGTAGAAAGTAGGAATGAAAGTTATTTTGTAGACAAAGAATACTTCAAGTTTAGTAATATCTTTAAACATGGAGATAATGTAGTCATTGTGCCATTTAAGTTTGTCAAATTCATCAGTACGTTGTGTTGCAAGATCTTTAAGAACTGAGGTGCATCATTGAAAGTCTCGATGGCCTGAATATTTATGTTTAGGTTTAAGTTTTTGGTTACCCATGAGTACAGTAGTATAGGATTTTTTTGGTAAAGATTCAATTGTAGCATTCGAGTGAGTGTCTATAGGTAGATCTTGTTGGGAGTTGGCGGTAGAATCAGATAAAAGGGCTAGGTTGTCAGCTGTTAGTAGGTTGGGCTCGGTTGTAAGTGTATCCTCGGGTTCAGAAAGCCCTGGAAGATCAGAAGGTTGTAAGTCAACTGCCGAGATAGGTTGTTGTACCAAATTGGGGACAATATTTGTTGTGATAATCAGTGTGGGAATTTTTGCAATTTTTCCTATGCTAACTGGAATAGGCACAGGGGCCCCGATCAGTTTGTTGTTTTCTGGGGGTATGGTGTTTTGCCCACATTGTTGTGATTGTGTTGTAAGAGCGGTTGGAGTGAAAGTAGTCAAAGAGTAGTCCATTTGAGTAACTGTACTGTTGGGGTCATTTTGTCTGCTTCTTTTTGCAGAAGAGGGGTTGTTAGGTGCTTGATTAGAAGAGTGAGAGAACTGGTTGGAAGTTGAGATGGGTGTATCCATAGTTAAGATAGGGTGATCATTAAAGGTGAGAAAAGGCTCAAAGGTCTGAGGGGTGGAGAAAACACAGTCTCTTGTACGTTTAATTTTGTTTGAAGGTTGTAGAACTGTATAGTATTAGTTTGTTCTTTGTCCTGGAGGACCCAATAAATTATTTATTTATCGAAATGCTGAGCTTTGTTAGTTTGATTGCAGTTTGTTTACTCAAAATTTTGATTTTCAGAGGTGAACCAGAAAGAGTTTTTTTGACTTTTTAAATTTTACTATATTAATAATATATAAATGATAATAAATACTTAAATTATATAAAATACAAGTTTTAATTGCATTATAAATACAGTAATTTATACTAATTAAGTATATACATGGGAATGCAATTATAATAGGTTCGAAATCTATTTAGATTAAAATTGATAAAAATTCTAAATCAACTTAAATTATATTCTCATTTATAATATATATTTTATAAATAGCCTCGCGCTATAGAACAGATGAATATTAGCTTCATTAAAAAAATCTTGGACAACTCCAATACAGAATAGTTATGAGGTATAGTTTTGAATTCAGATTAATAAATATTGGGTATATAACTAATACAGCATAACTATATTAATAGTTAGATAAGAAATGCTCTTCTCAAAACTTATTAGACCCAAAATAAAGATACAAAATTTTATTTTTTTTATTATCAACAACTATCATTAAATAATACAATCAGTATTTTTAATATACAAAATATTTTAAAAAAATATTCTTAACTGATTTTACAATAATTTTTCAACTAGTTAAAGTTTATTACATGATTTATGAATTCTTTGAGCAATATCTATTTAACTGTATAATATACAGTACTATTGAAACCCATCTTTTCCAATCCTTTCAATATCTTAAATTCATATAATTGATTAATGATTTTATTTATCATTATTTAATATTAATAATGATTTGCACTTTAAATATTTCAATATACTCTAATAATATTATAATAATTAGTATTGCGACTGATACTAAAATTGGCTAATACTAAAATTTAGAGTTCTAATTTAAATTTATAATACCTACTAAAATTCATATATGCTTTTTTACTAACAACTCTACTTTCAAACTCTAATCTAATATTAAAAAAAATCTCTAACAAAAAGGCCTAAAATTTTTTTAAAATTTTATAATAAAATAAGTCAAAATTTTAGTATTAGCCATGACAATTAGTAATATTATATATACTATTTGTCTAACTCTTAGCAAATTTCTTATAATATTCAAATTTTTTATTATCCCTTAAATTGTAACACAGGCAAATTTGCTTGCGAAGATTTTTACTAATTTTTTTAATATTTAAATTTTTTAA